TGTGGGGGTGAGGGGTGGATGGAAGGGTGGAGGGAGGGGGTGAGGGATGGAGGGAGGGGTGGAGGTAGGGGTTGAACGGTGGAGGAAAGGGTATAGGGAGGGGGTGAGGGAGTGGAGGGAGTTGTAAATACTGTTGTTTTAATGTAATGTAAACTGTCATTTTTTCCTTAAGATTGAAATTTTATTGTAAAATCTTTCACCATTTTAACTGATCCTTGAGCAAAGCAAGCGTGCTGTGGACTGTTGTATAGGAGACACTTGTGTTTTACGCGCTCATATAACCTTCTGATGTTGCTTTACTTTACTTTGCTTTACTTTCATCTGCCGCTTATACCCACTTGGGTGTCGCTGGAAGAAAGAGACGTCTCTCTGCCACCAGCCGGAGAGCTTGGGTTGGGGGATGCCATTAGTTGTTATTGTTAGTATTCCCCTGACTCCATCTATCCAGGTCTTTCTCGGTCGCCCTCTAGCCTTGTTGCTGCCAATGAATTTTTTTATGTAGGCACGTTGTGCTGGATGGTGTGTTTGTAATCGCATTAGATGTCCGAACAATTTGGTTCTTTGGTGTTTGATGTGATGCATGACATGCAGTTGCGAGCACTGTAAAACTCTGACTAAAACAGAACAAATCTTGTATTTTTCAGGCCTGACTATGCTGAACAGAGTCACTGTTGGGGAGTGACCGCGTGACCGTCTGTGTTCCAGTGCTGGTGTCACGTGACACAGCCTCTCTCCCCCCCCCCCCCCCCCCCCCACCCGGCCACAGCTGGGCCGTGCCATGGCCCCACTGGACAACCGTGCGTCACCACCACAGCTTCTGACGTCACGACAACCACCTCTGACGTCACGGAGAACACGGGTGCTAGCCTGAGATTGTAGAAAAGCAAACAAACACACACACACAAAAACAAACACACACACACACGAACGGGACAGGCGGATACACCAACAAGGTGTGCACCTATCCCAGCACTATGGGCAGCTACACAAGTGTGGCGTGCCTGGTTGCCATGGCGACCGTGTGTGTCCTGGTGGGTGAGTGCGGCGCTGGGCTGGTGGTGCGCGTGCGTGACCTTGAGGTGTCCGTGGGCCGGTCAGTGTACGTGAGCAGTGAGGACCTGGTGGTGCAGAGTGTGAGGCGCGGAGAGAGCTGCCGTGTGGAGGTCCTACAAGGGGACCCGGTCAGCCAGAGAGTGGGTCGTCTACAGCCGCCGGG